CTTTTTACATTCATTGTTTTTCTCATCGGCTTCAATTAGCTCTTATAGATTCTGGAAAAAATTATGTTGAAATTGCTGGTCTTTTTTTTTATTGTTTCAAATGTAGTGAATGTTGTTGGGGAATCAGCAAAACGTCATGATATTCTACGAGAAAAACATAGTATGATAATTTTTGAAACTTTGGATAATGGTGAACTATCAACTAGCCGATGATTAAATCAAGAAACAATGATTAAACGACCACGAGATACATGATGGGGATCACATTATGGTGCTTTATTGAGTATTATTACAATGTTTTCATTAGTAGTTGATGTACTTAACACAATTATACAATGTGGACCAAATTCGGAACAGTAATTGAAGTAAGGATTCTAATAAGTTCAATCCAATCATTCGACTATGTTTTTCATATGAATTTTATGAAAATCATCTTGGGAATCATAAATAATTTGTCTTAAGCATTACAAAGAAAAGATCAGGATATTGTAAATGCCATGAATTTAGTCCGAATTTGTAGAGAAATATTGCAAACATTGAAGAAGTCTGGTTGGGATTCATTGCTAGATTAAGTTTCTACTTTTTATGATAAACATGATGATACGCGACAACTCAAACGTATTGGACTACTCGAGCCACAAGCCACTTGAATCCAATCATATAGATGGTTCAATCTGAAAGGCTAAGACTTAGATGGATTACCTTTGCAGTCGATTATCTTGAGCAGACGGTATTTTTTCCGCAGGGGGGAGGGGTTTGCACACGGCAAGGGGTGAGAAAACTCTCTAGTTTTATTCAATCAACATTCAAAAGATGATCAAAACATGAAGGGGTAGGCCCATGGCCAAGGAAATAACAAAATTAAAAAAGAAAATAAAAATGATAAATTCATAAAATGTAAAGAACTTGCTTAAAAGTAAATTTAAATTGATAAACTAAAAAAAATATATCAAAATAAAATCAAACTCTTTCCTCAAATGCTCTTGGAACAAATTAGGGAAATAGATTCTTAAATTGTTCCAAGAATGCAACTCTTGTTGGCACCAAAAGGAGGCGTCAAAGGGGTGGCGGCATCAAGTGGTGGGGGTGCCCATGGGGGCTGTGGCATGCGCGCAAGGAAGCTGGCGCTTGGGGGAGGCGCGCACGCATGGGCAGGATGTTGACGTGCAGGCATGGGCGATAGGGGCGTGTGCGTGGGCGTTGGGCGTTGATGGGCGTGCGGCAAGGCAAGGCGCGCGAGGGCTCTGGCGGGCATGCAGGAGCGCAGGCGCTAGCGGGGTGAGGCATGCACGGACAAGGTAGGGGGCGTACGGCGTGGGCGGCTGGGTGTTGGTACGGTTTAGAACCCTTTGTGCAAATGTACACAACCGTTGTAGCAAGTGATAAAAAGATCGGATCCACAGAGATTGATAACTAAACATTCTAATAATTACTTAAGAAAATCAAACGAATTAACAAAAATGTTTTAGATAAGAAAAACTAAAGGAACTCAAACAAAATAGTGCATACATGATTTACTGATTAAAAACAAAGTAGAAACAAGTAAAACCAAATAGATTAAAGAAAAATATGCAAACAAGAGGTTAACTACTGATATTTAAAAGGGCAAGGGGGAAGATGATTCATGACTTTTTCTGGGCTACTCTAACGATGTTGCAGCATTAACGAAGTTGATATACTGGCCAAACATACAAGTAATCTTCCCAGATTTTCAGATTTTCTGCTATTCATGTCTTTTAACAAACTTGACAGCATATATACTCAATTTATAACCTTGCTAGGTGAGCGTTACTCCTAAGTACCCACACTCTAAACTCAAGTAGATCTAGCACGAGTTGAAGCCAAACACTTTCTTTCTAAGAGTTAATAAGAAGATATTCTAATATGTTGGCCAAACACATTGCAAATGTAGGGATGTTAGTGAATTTGAAACATTATTTGCACAAAATCAGTGTAGATTGGGTGTTAGTAAGATTATCCTTAACTAATTATATATGAAATACTTGCACAAATAACTCTCTTTTGGAGAGTTATCACACCCCCAAACTTGAACTATTGCTTGGCCCCAAGCAATGCTACTCCCGACTCTACACTCCCTGGAATGGAAAAACCATGCATGTTAACAACTTCACCAAATGCCTATGATCCATTACTGTGGCTAAGAGTTTCTCAATCTACTTCAGCATCAAACCAGAAAGGAATCAAACAACTCTTGCACTAAGATTAAGGTGCTTTATTCATATTTTACCATTTCATTCCACCCTCACTCTTGGCAACCTTTGAAAAGTCCCCCCAACTTCTTTTCTCAAACTGATTTCCACTCTCATACTTTTGCTAACTTGCTACTGACTTTAGCTAACAGCCATGGGCTACTAGCCATTCCTGACCCTATAGCTCTTTTGAAAAAAAAAAATTCTTTCCTTTTTTTTTCTTTTGTTTTTTTTGTTTTTTTGTTTTTTTTTTTTATAGATAGAGCTGAATTACAAGGCCAAAAATTTAGCATAGTTTTACAAATGATTGTACTGCGAAGGGAATTATAAGAATGAATGCAACATTAAAATGAAAGCCCCTCACCCCCAAACTTAAAATGAAGCATTGTCCTCAATGCTTAATTAATGACTTTGAAAAAGTAAGGACAATGCATCCCGAAACTTAGAGTGAAGATAGGATAGGAGAAAATGGTATATGGGTAGCAACCTATTTTAGTTGGTTCTAAAGGGGTGAATCCTTGCTACTTTTTTTAAAGTCATTAGCTTGCTGGCAAGTTGGAAAGGGATACTCAGCCCTTGAAATTCTGCTAAGGTTAAATTTCTAGGGCAGCAATGGGATACTAGGAAAATTAAGCTATCCTATGCTACAAGCACCCTTAGAAAAAGGGCAAGATTGTATCTTTCCTTTCTAACTATAGCAAGAGTAGAAATCCTGTAAATTTCCACAGACCAGACATCAAAGGCAAAAGCTTATAATCAATCAGCATGCATTATCAGACCATTCTACACTGGACCTCTCATTTTCAACCTTGCTTTTCATTTTCCTTTCTTTTCATGGAATGACGCTGAGTGCAGCTAAGAAACAAAAGCAAACTACCCTAGGAATTGAAAAACTAATAGTTACTAGAAATTAAACACTAATCTAAAACATGCAAGCAAATATAAAAAAGGCAGAAAATAAATCAGCATGAAATATAAAATGTCAGGCAGGGAAAACCAACTCCCCTCAGTCAATCTTCTTCTTCTTCATCATTGGAGTCGCCCGTGGGCTGAGATGCTCCATCATCGACAGTGTCCCCTACATGTTCGTAGGCTATGGTAAGTTCTTTCTCCAAGTGATCCAACAAGGTCTCCTTTTGAATTTTCTTACTCAGCAAGTCATCTGCAAGTCTTAAGAGAGAACATTCTTCTATATCAACAAAGAATTTAACAGAATTAAAAACAGAAAATGTAACATGTTGATTGTTCACTCTCATGGTAAGCTCCCCATTATGCACATCTATTAGCACTCTACCAGTGGATAGAAAAGGCGTCCCTAAAATTATTGGGATCTCGTTGTCTGCTTCATAATCGAGGATGATGAAGTCAGCTGGGAAAATTAACTTGTCCACTTGCACTAACACATCTTCGATCTTGTGAGGTTAGTAGGGCAGGGACGTGCGCTGTAGGGGGTACGCTGGGAGGTTTGCACGGCATGATGGCGTGCGCAGTAGGGGCATCCGCACACGGTGGCGTTCGTCTGTACGTGCGTGTGGGTGGCCTCTCGATGGGCTTGTCCTTGATGGGAGGCCACTCGCTTGGCTTCTCTTCCCTTTCATGCTTCCTCTTATTTGTTGATGGGTCCGATGAAGTTTCCTTCGTTTGGTGGGTCTTTCTTCAAGTCTCTCTTCATGGTTGGTGTATGTGGCATCTTGGAGCATTAGGTCAATTATGATCGCATCACATGATATTCAAATTCTTAAGATGGATGATATGTTTTTTTTTCGAGGGCGACGAAGACAAAAAATCTCAACGAATTACAAATATGCATCATTATTGCGTTGAAGTTTTTTATACATGCATTGACTTGCAGTTTTAAGAATTGCGTAACCATTTTACTGCAACAAGTACTGAGTGCTTGATGATCAACTTAAAAATTATATTATTGATGTGCACTCGAATACTGAGTTTGGTGAAGTGATCTTACAGTAAAAATAGTCATGACAAATAGAGATAAGAGATAAGGTATATCCAAATGATAGTCTCATCGCATATATTGAGAAATATTTATTTGATATGTTAGATAATAAATCGATTTCAAAATATGAAAAGTCATAGAGGACAATTGTAACGTTATTCAATTAGTTCATTTATCAACCTATTAACAATCGTTCGATTATTTTATTAAATATTTGTGTATTGTACCATCTGAATAAAATTCCTGGATTCTCCGCTAGATAAACTGATATATTTTGTTGGTGTCTTAATGGATTCTATCATGTGCAAATGCATTGACAAATGATGGAACATTCATCATTGTGCTGTGGAAGCTAAATGTGCTTGATAACTGGAATGTTGTAGCACTACGATTCACCATATCATATATGAATTCGGAGACAAATAAGAACTGCTTACAGCAAAAATCCTTGGTGGTGTACATGGAGGGCTATAAATAGAGAGTTGTTTGAAAGAAATCCTAGAGACACTCTGTGGATGTTGTCTAGATAGGGGTGAGCAAAAGGTTTTAAAAAACAACCCCAAAGAGCAGTGATGCTTCTCAAAAACTGAAAATAAGACAGTTGCATTATCAAAAAAACCCGTTTCAAGAATTAGCAACCTCTCTCGTGTTGCTCTATGAAACAATATCAATAGGACATCAACCTAATATCCTCATTACTCTCAAAATCGAACATATAAACAGTATACAAATTATTATATGAATATTACCCCTCAAGTTTACAAATTTAATTAACTAATGTCCAAAAATGTTTTCAATGTTTTCTCGTCAGCAAATTGATGATAACAACATGATTGCACCAAATGAGAATAATTCTATAAATAAAAATCTTCACACTAAAATGACCAATAAACAAGATCCATAAGCTTTTGCCATCTGCCACTATCAATATTTTCTGGCCCAAAAAGACAGTATAAAAGAAGGGGGGTAATAAGTTAACCAAAAATATCATCCCAAGCAAAAATTCCAAAAACAAAGTTCCAACTCAAAACGTTCAACTAAAAGGCCAAAGAACCCGATTTGCCCAACCACATGCTCAACTCGATTATAAAAACCTGGAAAAGCTTAACGCTTCTTGGAGACACCAACGGTTTTCCCTCGGCGACCAGTGGTCTTGGTGTGCTGACCACGGACTCGGAGACCCCAGTAATGCCTCAGACCTCGGTGATTCCTGCATTCAATGTATCAATGTTCGTTATTCACCCCCGAAGATTAGTGGGGTGGACCACTTGAATACGGATTCAAGTTGATAATAGATTAGTTGCAGAAAATTATAAGGCAATACCTTATCAGTGGAAGCATTACAGTTCAGACATTATAAAAGTATTTCAACTACAGGACCATGCATGTTGAATATGACACCAGCAGATTAAAGGACTGCTTTGGTGCATTTAAAAACTATATCTAAAAAACAGTTTGGAAAGATATGTTATTTTCTTGCGATTTCATTTATTTCAGTCCTACATATATTTAGAACAATACAACACAATTAGATCAAACTATACTTAAAAATAATTAATTTTTTGTAGTACAACACGTGGAGGTAGGGATTCGAACTTATGGCTTTTTATCGGAGATGGGTGTCTTAAAATAATTAATTATTACATATCAATAATAGAACACATAAAACAGCAAAATATTCTTTATTTTTCGGCTTTGAAAACTGATTCTAAAATTTACCGTGTCAAACAAGTTTCATACTCAGAAACATAAAACTAACATAAGTTTTATACTCAGAAACAGAAAACTAACATAAGTTCCAAATGGACGGACGACTGTAGAAACACTTTAACCAAAAAACTGTGCATGTTGATATGATATCAAAAACAGAAGTTACCTGATCTTCTTCAACCGTTCCAAATCATCTCTCAACTTCATGTCCAATGCATTTGAAACCACTTGAGAATATTTCCCGTCCTTGTAGTCCTTTTGCCGATTCAAAAACCAGTCAGGAATTTTAAATTGACGTGGATTGGCAACAACCACCATGAGATTGTCCAACTCAGCAGCAGTCAATTCACCAGCCCTGGCAGTAACAACAACAAATGAGAACGAAGGTGTAAATTTGATAATCCACCTTCAGTTTTTCCTTTCTTCTAAATTGTAACATCCTCTAGGGTTATAAAGGGAACAATAATTCAAAAGAAAATTCATTTATGGTCATTAAACATACAACAAAAGAATAAATATAAACATTTACTGAGTTTAAAACTGTTGGTTTATTTGTGGATATTAGTTGTAATTAGTTGTAAATATTAAATTCTTATTTACATTCCTTTTATGTATTGTGCCTTTCTCCTATATAAGAAGGTTGTGTATTTCTCACTTGAGATATATTATTGGAATACAAGTATTTTATTCCATCTAAATCAAGTAAAACACTAATAAAAACACCAACAATGAACTATTGTAACTACTGAAGCAAGCTACAAATATAAGTTAATTGCTCCTGCCTTACTTCTGACGAGATATTCCAAATACCAACTACACTTGAGCAGCTGTTCATCACTTATACCGAAGAAAAATAAGTTAATTTTAGCACAGAAGGAATTGTCAGTTTAAATAATCAAAGGGAAAAAATAAAATTGCAGCCATCTGTATACATCAAACCAAATAAGCACGAGGAACATATGGCGTCAAGCCATATCCAATGGGAAAAAAGAAGATGCAGCAGATAATTCCAGTAACCAAGAATCTCCTTGCAGTTCGTACTTATTCTCAAATAACTCAAATGAGAATTGTAGTCTTTCTTTTTTCCTTAGCTAGACCTGGTTGTCAGAAAAGTTTTCTAATATTTTGAAATCCTTGCCTGGTAAATATTACTCTAATTGAAGGCTCGTGGATTAGAAGTCCTCTACTCCACATTTTGTTTGGCTTTTTCTTGTTTTCCAACATAATCCTACATCACATTTTCAGATTCCAGCTGCAAACATGAACCAAGAAACCAACTTCTTTAAAAATCCTAAATCATATAACAATTAACCTATCACATATCCCTATTTACATGATGCTATGTTTTGTCATACATCATCTCATATCTTGTCATGTAGTGCCTGACCTCATCATTCAGAAGAATATCATCATGCGTATGTCGGCAGTATGATTGTTCCAACAACAATCAACTCCTTCAAAGATCCCATATCTTTCAAAGATTTAATCAATAGCCATACCCCTAATAAACTAAACTTATTGTTTCCCAAATATCTCAGAACTTGAGTTTTTTATGTAAAACTTGAAGCTTACTTATCTGCACATATAATTAGTAACAACCAACAACACAGAGCCAAAATATCATCCATTTTAATGCGGAAAAAGGAACAGACCAACGTGACTAGCAGCCCACATCATTACCGACATAAGAATCAACCAAAGTAGAACTAGAACGCGTCCTTTTTAACATCAATAATTCTCGAATCTTTCTATGGAAGTACATACAGGACAAATGGAAAAGAAGGGCATAAAATACCTCTTGTTCATGTCGACATCGGCCTTCTTGCAAACGATATTAGCGAAACGCCTTCCAATACCTTTGATTGAAGTAAGAGCAAACATAATCTTCTGCTTCCCATCCACGTTCGTGTTCAGCACACGCAGAATGTGCTGAAATTCCTCGTTCGCTACCAGCGACTAGATAAAGAACCAGAGAAACAAACACAATCAACCATTTTGGGGAAAATACAAAACCCTGACGAATAATTTGGTATATTCAAGAACAACGCAGAAGAAGAACAAGCGGAAACAACAAAGAAGAAACTGCAGTTACCATGGCGGATGAAGATGGAAGGACTTCGTAGAATTCGCGCAGGCAGCAAATGGCAGGGAAAAAAAATCAGGGGAGATCTTCGAGTGGAGACTGGGAGAGGATTTTATATTTTGCCTTTAAAGCCCTCTAGGGTTCCGCCTCGACCAGATTGACCAATATACCCTTGCTAAATTCTCGTAATTTCGATTATATTCAAAACAAAATTACCATTTTTCTTTTTGTCAGTAAAAACAAAATATTATGTCCCTAAATTCGAAGATAAGTTTTTATTTTGATCACTAAATTTTAAAAACTAACCATTTGATCCTGTCTTATATCCGCATTTTATTAGTGACACATACGGGAGTTTGACTCCACATCTCAAGAACCAAACTGTCCTTTTTAAAATTTAGGAACCAAAGAGAAATTTTTTTTTCTTTTTTCTTTTTGGTTCAACCATGACATTTGAGACGATAATATGTGTCTTATCAATTAAGCTACGTTTTGGTTACAAAAAGTATGTTGCAGGTAATTTATATACATATGTTTTTTTTATTTTATGTATTAAAAATGTTATAAAATATTATTAAAAAAATGCTAAATACCATCTTTTGTTAGCCAATACTCAATTTGGTTTCAATCTTTTGAAAATTTCAACTTTATCATTAATGTACTAAAAATTCCCAAATAGGTCGAATTTGTTAAAATTTGTTAATATTGTCCGCTTTGGGCATAACTCTCACGGCTGTACATTTGGTTTCATCCAAAAAAATCGTAATTGTTCTCATCTTTATATCATGGATCACTCTCTTCCCTAATCAATGTAAGACTTTGTTTGCACTTCTTACAAACCCAATAATCCTCCACTCGAACATGGTGTCACTTGTATCTTGCCTCGAATAGTCATGCACTCATCTACTCCCGACCGACAACGAGAGCATGCTTCTATCCAGAACGTCCAGATAGAGCACTTACTACACGGACTATATTGTGAGAGCATCTTGTCATTCTATCTCATTCTCAATCCCCTCCCCTCGAACAAAGATACCACATTCTTCCTATCAGTCTACCCGACTGTGATAGGCTTCCTATCAATCTACCCTAACTTGGTAGGGCATGTCTTGATTGTCACCTGAGCACAGAGTATGTCTTTGCTCGTCATCTCAAGCACTTTTTGTTTGATTTGGAGATTCATCTATAAGTTCTATAATGACTATTAGACTTACCAATCACTCTTGTTTGACCCTTGAGGATTCCTCCCACACAGCTAGGTTTTCTAATGACTCTAATATCACTCGTTAAGGATAATGGTACCCTCGTACCCACAAGTATCTCTATAATAGTATGATATTGTCCGCTTTGGGCATAATCCTCACGTTGCTTTTGGTTTCACCAAAAAAATCTCATACCGATAATTGTCCTCATCTACATGGATACTCTCTTTCTTAGCTAATGTGGGACTTTATTTGCACTCTTTACGACTCAATACTATTTTGCCTTAGATCATTCATCTTTTCCATATTATCTAGCTTTCAATCTAGACCTTCTAAAGCTTCATGTTTATTTCTTAGAACAAACAAATCAGTTATCCTAGATATGAAAACTTTATGACTATTTGACAACTTTTGATAGGAAATATTAGTTTGCAATAGGATATTTTGTACAACTTCGAATATCATTTCTAATGTCTGTAGGAACATCAAGGTCAAAGACAATAAGTAAAATATTTAGAATAGTTGGAGAAGTAGGAATAATAGAGAGATTAAAGAAACATTGCAGCAATTTTTAATTTCGTTTATCAAAGGCTTAGATTGACCCGGGTCAACTATATGGTCTTGGTATGTTCATTCTATTAAATTTTCTTTATAGTATAAAACTTTTACTTAGAAACTAGTAGAATAATTTTTGTAGTATTTCTCTACACGAATGAGAATTTCTCCATTGCGTATTGAAGGACTAGTAAAACTAAGATAAATAAGAGGAGCAAAATTGTCCCAAAAATTATTTCAAATTTGGTTTCTTTCTCTAGAGAATTTTAGGTAAAATATGACTAATTTTCAAGAAAGTCACATCCATATTCACTAAAAGTCTATTTTTTATTGGCTTGAAGATTAAAAAATTTATATCCTTTTTTACTTGGAGAATAACCCAGCTACATTTAACAGCTCTATAATCAAGTTTTTACTGAAATCGACTAGGTATATGTAGACGTAAATGGTAACCAAAAACTTTGAGAGATAAATCAGAATATATACATGATGCTGGAAAAACATATTTAAAGCACTCAATTGGAGTTTTGAAATTCAAAACTTTACTAGGCATTACTCTTGTTTATTGGTAGACAACCATAAGAATATATTTCTCCACATTGCCATACATATTTTGGAACATGCATGGAAAAATTATAGCATGTGCTACTTCAAGTAAATGTCTATTTTTTCTTTAAGCAATCTCATTCTATTGAGGAGTATTCCGACAAGTAAACTAATGAACAATACATTTTCGTTAAAAAAAAACACCAAAAAATTGATTGAAATACTCGGTTCCATTATTAGAGTGTAAAATGCAAGTTTTGATTTGAAACTGATTTTCAATTATACATTATATATTTTTGTCATTAAATAAACCCGAGAGATAGACGAGCATGATTGCCATAACAAACCATCTTTTTCATTATGAGTATCAATTTTATAGGCATCCCAGACATCACTCTGTCTTAGATAAAACAATTTGGAAGCTTTGTAAGGTTTACAAGAATATGTGGAACAATATATATATATATTTTTTTTTTACCAAAATAATGCAACCCTCAGAACAATCATTGACTTAAATAAATTTAGAAATAAATATTTTAGAAAAAAAAATTGGGCTGTCCTAGCCTAAGATGCAAAAGCATAATATATATATTCACAAATAAAACTAATACTACTTAGATCTTGAGTTATTTTATTACTAAAAGATATCATGTTAAGGATGAATAAACCAACCACTCAACCCAAAAGTTTAAACGGATGAGTTGGGTAAATTTAATTAATATATATGGATTCTAACAAATCAACCATATGCCAAACCATGCGAATGGTGATCGACCACTCGAAGAATCACGAACAAAGGGCGAACAAGGAACCATGAGACCACTTGTAAAGACACTTGAAAAACAACGAAGGGAAGTTCATAAATGACTGGCAAAGAAAATGATAGAGAAAACTGCAAACAGAGGCGTGAAGTAAGTAAACACAGACGATCAACTGACAATGTAAACAAACACCTACAAACGAATAGAGGTGGGCATACGAAAAAAAATGCACCAATCCAACCAAAGACTCGATAGTGAGTGGCGAATAGACTCGAACAACTATGTAATTGAAGGGATGTGATTCCCGGAGCGGAAGCGGATTTTCGTTGCTGTTTTTCGAGATACAAAATCGAATTTCAAAGAGGAAAAATATAGAGGAAATTTTACCTTTGAAGAACGTTTCTTCAACGAGTTTCCCTCGAACACCACCACTATGTCTTCCTCGCTATCTTCTTGGGTCTCAGGATCGTGCTGGTGGGAGCAATCCTTTGGAACGACAGGGAGAGATTGAGAGAGTTCTTTGATTGAGAGAAAACTGGGAGAGTTCTTGCTATGTTTTGTATACTGTCTTTTTTGCAAAACTGCAAAGAAAACAAAAAGTGACGCGGGGGAAAGGGGCAACCAACATAGGGGGCTAGCTTGCTTCCACTGGTGGCGGGGCGAAGGGTCCAAAGGACACGTAGCCGGGGGCGAGTCAAAAAATCCAATAGTTCTCTTTTCCTTCTTGTTCATCAATCGGAAATCAAGACAAACCGGGCACTACGGTGAGACGTGAAAACACCCGATCCCATTCCGACCTCGATATGTGGAATCGTCTTGCGCCATATGTACTGAGATTGTTCGGGAGACATGGTCCAAGCCCGGTGAAGAAAGAAATGCAAATTCAAAAGAGCTCGTGAGCTAATGGTGCCTGAAAGTGCCGTAACGTAAGTAACTTAGTGCTCTCCCTTTAATTGGCCGTTCTGTCATTGTCTGATTTTTTGTTGTCTGATCACAAAAAAAATGAAATGAATGTAACCAGAAAAAATCTTTTCTTTATTTGGGCTTGATCTTTATTTTTCGTCTATTTTGAACTCCCCACGTCACACTAACCTCCCACTCCCTAATTAAAATATAAAATTAATTTATTAATTAATCATATTAATTAATAAATAATTATTAATTATTAATCCAATTAATAAGTAATATATATATATATATATATATAAATCAAATAAATAATTAACACTTAATTATTTATCATAAAAATAGAATCATATTCTATAACATTTCTCTCGTATAACTTATAATTCTAATGTACATCTTATGCACATTATTTTTGACCTATAGTTTTAACATGAATCTTATTCATATTAATTTTATTTGAATCTCATTCAAATAATTTCTCTCATAATATATAGTTTTAATTTATAATTAACTATATATATTATAATGTATCAATATACATATAATCCCTTAAGTAATTTGAACATTTCAAATTCTTCCAAAACCTTGATCTTCGTTGTACCCGTTATGAGCTAGCAAGGGGACCTAATGGACCTACAGATCAGAAGCTCCAACGATGCGAGATTAATCGGTCAAACTCATTGACCGAGTTAATCAAGATTCGTTAACTACGGGTCATTCCACTAAAGACCCGCAGTTGCACTCTTCACACTGCAGAACGTTTTCGTGTTCACGGATATACGATCATAAATGACGAGTCAATCCTTCACGAGTGTTCGTAACTCAAGTTAGGTCAAATTATCGTTTTACCCCTGAGTTACATCTTACTCCTTAAACACCACTGCTCCTCTAATGAACAACCCGGTTATGGTTCAACCAATAACCGGAAGTCCCTCTCAGCCAATGAGAGGGTGTGGCCCCTTGTTCAAGTCCCGGAGTCAGCATTTAAGGGAATACTCATCTACTCCCCTAAAGTCGGGGAGGAGTGAATTCCATCTTGTGAAGTTATGTTCCCAGCTCCCCACTTGGTCTTGTCCCCAAAATGGTAGGAATGTTGAGTCGGCGACTCGGGCCACTCTCACCCATACAGATCAAAGAACGAGCCCTCACGGGCAGGAGTCCATAACTCACTCAGGATTGAGA